GGAGGAGAAGGAGGAGGAGGAGGAGGAGGAGGAGTGGCGAGGAAACGAGGAAGGGGAGGAGGACGAGGGGGAGGGAGGAGAGAGGAAGTGGAGGATGGGCGAGAGCGCGGGTGCTCATCCGTGGCGCGGCCTGGGGGGGGGGCCCACGTGGCGCGGGAGGACCTGGGCCAGAACACCCCTCAAGAACATGAGGCTCCCCGTCGGCCAACACACACACACACACAAAAAAAAAAGAAAGATAACATCCAGGGATACCCTCCTCAGGGTGCACAAGACCATCCAACAAGCACGAAGAACACTAGGGCACCCTCCCCGTACCGACCTCGCTCGTATACCTCGGTCCGAGTGTAACAGAGGCAGAGGAGACGGCATGAGCATAAACATTCGGAGGTCCGCGCGGGTTTCTTGGATCTGCACTAGGCCCCTCCCTGGCGGCGCCTCTGGAGCCCCTCCCTGGCGCGTTCCGCGCGCCAGGGAGGGGCCCAGCGCAGATCGCGCAGACCTGAGAAATCCGCGCGAACCTCCGCAAGCTAATATGTATGCAGTTTCTCCTCGAACTAAAGGACGAGGGGTAATCTCTGGCCCTGGCGTGCCTCGACCACGAATAGGTCCCCCGCCCTACGTGCAGGGTACTGCCCGGAAGCCAGGGCGCCTCCGGAGCCCAGAGGGGTCTCTCCATTTCGGCGTCTGGACTGCACCTCCAGCAGGGGTCGCGCGAAATGCCCTCAGGGTCCACCTGGTGCAGCTTTTCACCCGGGAACTGTTCTTTCACAGTCCGGGGGCCCGACAACGACCCCCCGAAGCCGAACAAGGCAACAAAACGTTCCCGACAAGGCCGAACGAGGCCGAACAAGGCCTCGAATGTGCCCGTCTTTCCTGCTGACCGGAACCGGTGCTGATGGGCCCGTTTTCCACCACCACCACAACCACCACCATAAGTTGGAGTGGGAGGGGGTCTTCCTCCTCCCCCTCCTCCTCTTCTTCGTCCCCTCCTCCTCCTCCTCCCCCTCCTCCTCCCCCTCCTCCTCCCCCTCCTCCTCCTCCTCCTCCTCCTCCTCCTCCTCCACCTCCAACTTCTGGTGGCGGTGGTGGAAAACACGCCCATCAGGTGCTGTGCCAGCCCATGCCCCCCGACGGCTGCAACCTGGTGAGGCGCAGCGGCGGCGGGCGACACGGCGGCCTCGCTTGCGCCGCCACGGCCTCCCGGAGGGCGTGCTCTGGCAGCTCCGCCGACCGGCACTCCCCGAGGGCGTCCTCCCGCCGCCGCCGCCCTCGCCGTCGTCGATCTATCGAGGATCGGTCGAACGGCGACGACGATCGAGGATCGATCGTTGTTCCTACGACGAAGGAAGGATGAGGAGAAATACGAGAATCGAGAATCTCTAAATCGAGAATTCCTCTAAGAGATATGAGGACAGTGAGGATCTCGAAGAGCTGAGGATAGCGAGAATCTGTAAATCGAGAATCTCATACATATATATATATATATATATATATAAAACATCAGGATGGTGGTAAGTCGAGAATCCCTAAGAGCTGGCGGGTCTGGCATACGTGTCGGGCGCCGCGGCCGTTCCAGAGCACGCCAGAACGCTCTGAGAGCGACCCGGGAAGCTCTCCTGGAGCGGCGTATCCTCGTCCTGGGCCTGCCTGCTGTTCCTCGAGTTCGACCTCCAGGCCATGCTTTCGGGCCCCGGGGCCCTCGAACTGGTCCAGAGAGAAGAAACACTGGCCCCTGGAGGGCGTCCAGGGTCGGTCATCCTATTCGTCGTCGATGCCCTCGTTGTGGATGTCGTCGTCGTCGTCGTCGTCGTCGTCGTCGTCGTCGTCGTCGTCGTCGTCGTCGTCGGAGGAGGAGGAGGAGGAGGAGGAGGAGGAGGAGGAGGAGGAGGAGGACGAGGAGAAAGGAGAACGGAGGAGAAGAAGGATGAGGAGGAGGAGAAAGGAGAATGGAGGAGGAGGAGGAGAAGGAGGACGAGGAGAAGGAGGAGGAGGGAGAACGGAGGGAGAAGGAAGATCGCGTAGACTATCTTAGCCTTATTGGGTCTCCCGGGGTCCCCAGCGTGGAGGCCACGGCTGGGGACGCAGCTCGAACAAGACTGGCCAGGATAGACCCCTGGAGGGGCCCAGGGCCGGCTCTGCGCAGACTTTGGCCGAGGGGCCTGGGGTCAGAAAACGTTCCCCCTCCTGCTCCTGCTCCTCCTTCTCCCCCCCTCCTCCTCATCCTTCCTCCCATACATCCTACTACTTCCCTACCTACCTCACTCCGCATAATGCCTGCTAATCAGCGTTCCTCCTCCTCAACCATACACACCATACTCATAATCTCCCTAATCCTCGTTACTCCCCCTCCTCCTCATCCTCCACCCTGACTACTACTCGCCATCAATCCTCATCCTCCTCATCAAAATTCCTCCTAATCCTCAGCTGCCTCCTCCAATCTCTCTCAAGACCCCACCTGGTACCCTGCCGTGACGAGGAATTCAATAAGAATACTAATACTTACCTCCTCACAGTCATCTCCTCCTCCTCCCCTCCTCCTCTCCTCTCCTCCTTCATCCTCTCCTCCAGCCCCTCTCCTCCTTCCTCAACCCGCCTCCTCTTCCTCCCTCCTCCACCCCTTTTTTTCCTCCTCCTCTCCTCCAAACTCTCCCCTCCTCCTCCTCCGCCTCCTCCTCCGCCTCCTCCGCATCCTCCTCTCCGCCTCCTCCTCCTCCTCCTCCTCCTCCTCCTCCTCCTCTCCCCCTCCTCCTCCCCCTCCCCCCTCGTCCTCATCATACCTTCACTTCCTCCTCCTCCTCCTCCGCCTCCTCCTCCTCCTCGTCGGACGCCTGGGAAGAGCAGCCCCTGCATGACACTTTCTCGCACAGTCCACCAGCCTGCCTGCGCATCCCTCCTTTCAGTTGCCAGATTCGCCCTCTCCTCGCGATCCAATCCGACGACATCCGACGGCGCGAAGAATAACAGCATGGCCAAACAGATGACCAAGACCTCGACCGATCTTTCTGCTGCTTTTCTCTGGCCGGATCTATCCGTGAGGGCTCCAGGGGGGCGCACCTGGGCAAAGGCGCGCGATGCGCGCGGCTCTCAGGGTGCGCTGTTGCATGCTTCTGTTCCGCTTCACGCTGTCTTCTGCCTCTCTCCTCATCCTGCCCGCCTGCCCGCACGCCTGCCTCTTCCCCTCCCAGCGGGCCGATCCTTGATGGCCGCGAGGTCGCTGCGGGTGACGCCTATCTTCAACTTCGCAAGGAGCAGCTCGAACTTGGCCTTCGCGTCCTTTGCCTCCAATTGGAAAAAATAACTCTGAACAGCTGGGGGAAGGGTGACTACAAGCAGCAGGCTGAAAGAGAAGGTGGAAGAGGCTCGAAGGTGGAGACGAGCAATGATAGGGCCGCGACAGACCACAAATGATGATAGAAACGTGCCGGGGAGGCGACACAGAAGAAACCGCCGAACAGGGGATAGAGAGGGAGAGAGAGAGAGAGAGAAAGGAAGAGAGGGAAACATCTGCATGCTTGTATTTTCGTTATGTATATGTATGTATGTATGTCTGTATGTATGCATGCATGTGCGTACGTGTGTGTATGTGCGTACGTATGTTTGTATGTATGCATGCTTGAATGTATGCATGTGTGTGGTTGTGGTTATGGTTGGATGTCTGCATATATGCATTATTGCATGCATGCGTGCATGTATGTGCGTACGTATTGAATGTATGTATATACGTACGTGTGCCTGAATGTTTGTATGCATGCATGCATGCATGTATGTACATGAGAGTGAGGGGGCCGAACGGTCAGTCATTGTCCCTGGGTGCGTGGCTGAAGGGAGAATCCGTGGTGCGGATTCTGCCTGTTGCGTTGCTGTTGTTGTTGTCGTCGTTGTTGTTGTTATTGTTGTTGTTGTTGCTGCTGTCGTTGTTGTTGTTGTTGGTGTTGTTGTGATTGTTGCTGGTGTTGTTGGTGTTGTTGTTGTATGTGTTGTTGTTGTTGCTGTTGTTGTTGTTGTTGGTGTTGTTGAACATTATTAATTCTAAAGAATAATCATTGTTGGGACCCCTGGTGCACGACCCCCTCGCCGCGCCTAGGCCGCAGCCATATTTTCATCATTTTCGTGAGGAAGTCTCAGGCAAAACGGGGTATACCAGATCCGGTTGTTTTGTTGACGCCCGCTTTCCCTTGCAAAAAACACTATAAAATGAAATCTCTTGTTCTAACATAACCAAACTTCAAGAATCCTTTGCAAAAAATGACACGAAGTGCACACTCGCGCGCGCAAGATGAAATCCTTCCAAAACCTTAGTTTTCGTAGCGATTTTAACATAAAAGCATGAAAAAACCCAATGGTTTTTCAAAAAAAAGCTTCAAAAATTCATCTTGCGCGCTCTTGCGGATTTCTGAGGAAACCCAATATTTTTTCAACATTTCTTCTTGCGAGTAACTTTTTTCACGTGCTTCGAATTTCTGCAACAACGGTTGCGCGCATGCCAGGGCCATCATCCCTGTCAAATAATACCATATTGGACACATTCGTTTTTTCTTCGCGCGCGCACGCCGTCGTCGTCGGCCGCGGGGCCCTGAATAGTAGCCACGGTCGTCCGCATGCCACGAAGTGAAGTGTCCGAACGTCATAGGGCGGGAAGCTGGGTGTGGGTGGTGGCGAAGAGTCGTTTGGAAATTTGGTAGAGCTTGAACCGGCCCCCCCACAAAGTGGGGGTATTGCCCGCCTCCTATGAAAACCCTGGCACTGGTGAGAACGGAGTGTCCCCAGTCTTAAATGATTGTTGTTGTTGTTGTTGTTGTTGTTGTTGTTGTTGTTGTTGTTGTTGTTGTTGTTGTTGTTGTTTGTTGTTGTTTGTTTTCGTCGTCCCCCCCGCGACTTACCTGCGACCCACCCCGCGACCCACCCCACGACCCCCCCCGCGACCCACCCCGCGACCCACCCCGCGGCCCACCCCCCGCGACCCACCTCGCGACCAACCCCGCGACCCACCCCGCGACCCACCCCGCGACCCACCCGCGACCCACCCGCGACCCACCCGCGACCCACCCGCAACCCACCCTGCGACCCCCCCCCCCCAGGAGCGCCCCCCACCTCCGGGACCTCTCGTGGCAACTCCCGGTGCTGCGCCCCCTCGGGCCTCCCAGGGGGGCCCCCAGAACGCCCCAGGACTGCCCGAAGACGCCCCCAGGGAGCCGCCAGAAACGCGAAAGGACGGCCCAAGACGCTCCCAAGCAGCCCAGGAGACTGCCGGCGAGTCGCCAGGCTCCCAGGAGGCTTCCAAGAGGCCCCAAGAGAGCTCCGCGAGGCGTCCCCGGAGCGCCCGAAGAGGCCAAAAACTATGATTTCCATTGCTGTCTTGTTGGTTTTTAGCCTTCTCGCGTTTTCGAGCTTCCAACGCTCCAAGACGGCCGAGAAAGGCCCCATTAAGACCGCCCCAAGACCGCCCAAGAGCCCCCGAGACCGCCCAAGGGAGAACCCCGGAACGCCCCAGGACTGCCCGAAGACGCCCCCAGGGAACCGCCAGAACGGGGGCCGAGTGAGGGGGCCGAACGGTCATTCATTGTCCCTGGGTGCGTGGCTGAAGTGAGAATCCGTGGTGCGGATTCTGCTTGTTGCGTTGTTGTTGAACATTATTAATTCTAAAGAATAATTATCGTTGGGACCCCTGGTGCACGGCCCCCCTGCGCCGCCTAGGCCGCAGCTACATTTTCATCATTTTCGTGAGGAAGCCTCAGGTAATACGATGTCATCAAGATCCGGTTGTTTTGTTGTAATCCGTCTTCCCTTGCAAAAAACACTATAAAATGACATTTCTTGTTCTAATATAAATCAAATTTCAAGAATCCCTTGCAAAAAAAATTAAAGTAAAAGAAGGGACATTCGCGCGCGCAAGCCGAAATCATTCAAAAGCTAGTGTCGGAGCGATTTTAACATAAAAACATAAAAAAAAACCAATGGTTTTTCAAAAAAAAAGTGTCAACATTTCATCCCGCGCGCTCTTGCGAATTTGTAGGAAACCCAACACTTTTTAAACATTTCTGTCAATCGGGCTTTGCGAGCAACTTTTTCGAACTTCTGCAACAACGGTGGCGCACATGCCAGGGCCATCATCCATGTCAAATTAATACCATTGCGGGACAAATTCGTTTCTTCTTCGCGCACGCGTCGTCTGCGGGCCGCGGGGGCCTGAATAGTAGCCACGGTTCGTCCGCAGCCACGAAGTGAAGTGTCCGAGCGTCATAGGGCGGAAGCTGGGTGTGGTGGGTGGCGAAGAGCGTGGAAATTCGGTAGAGCTTGAACCGGCCCCCCCACAAAGTGGGGGTATTGCCAGCCTCCTATGAAAACCCTCGGCACTGGCGAAAACGGATAAGGGCTCGTGCTAGAATTGTGTGTTTTTTGTTGTTGTTGTTGTTGTTGTGAACCCTCAATTCTGTGGAAAATTAATGATTGTTATCCCCCCTCACGGTGCACATTGATTTTTTCAATTGAAGGGCCCCCCCCGGGGCTCGCACCTTGTTTTTTTGTCAAAGAAAGTCTTCCTGTTCAAACTGGCCCCCTGCCCCCCGGACTACAACAACAACGGCTCCCGCCTTAGACTTCCTCACAATTTAGCCACGACCCCCGCTCCCGCCCGACACTTCCTCGCATTTTATTCATGAATCGCGCTCTCGCTTGGGACTTCCTCATAATTTATTCAGGAATCGCTCTCCCGGCGCTCTGGAGTCGCGCTTTCGCTGGAGACTTGCTTGCAATTTACCATAGCATAGCGCCCTTGCGTTGGATTTTCTTGCGATTTACTCAAGCGCCGCGCTCCCGACAACCAGGCACCCAGGAGTCGCGCTCACGCTTAGGATCCCCTCACAGACTCAGATTACCTAGGATCTCGCTGCCCTTCGTGGCCCCGTTGCAACCCTTCGTGGCCCCCTCGCTTTGTTTCGTGGCCCCGCTGCAGCCCTTCGTGGCCCCCTCGCTGCCCTTCGTGGCCCCGTTGCAGCCCATCGTGGCCACCCCGCTGCCCTTCGTGGCCCCGTTGCAGCCCTTTCGTAGGCCCCCTCGCTTTGTTTAGTGCACCGTTGCAACCCCTTCGTGGCCCCCCCTCGCCTGCCCTTCGTGGGCCCCGTCGCTGCTTCGTGTTCGTTGCAACCTGCGTGGCCTCCTCGATGCCCTTCGTGGCCTCGTGCGCCCTTCGGGGGGGTTTTTTGGCCACATCGCTGCCCTTCGTGGCCCCGTATATGTATGCCTCGTGCCCCCCCCGCTGCGTTCGCGCCGCGGTTGCCCCATATGCATCCCTTCGTGGCCACGCTGTCGCCCCTTCGTGGCACCCCCGCTGCCCTTCGTGGACCCGTTGATCGCCCTACAGTGGCCCCGTTCCTGCTCTTCCCGCGCCCAAATATAAGTTACTTTTGCTTTTTTACTTCTGTCGTTCTTTTTTTTTCGGCTCCTTCCCCTCTTTCGCGATTGTGGTCCCATGTGCATGCCCTTCGTGGCCCCGCTGTCGCCGTGTGTGGCCCCCTCACTGTCCTACGTGGCCCAATTGCTACCTTCAGTGGCCCCACCGTTGCCTCCTGTGGCCCCGCATTATCTGCCTTTCGTGGCCCCCGCTCGTTCGCGCTCTTCGTGGCCCCATACGCATTCCGTTCGTGTCCCCGCTGTCGCCCTTCGTGGCCTACTTCGTGTCCTTCGTGGCCCTGCTGTCGTTCTCTCTCGCTCTCGCTTTCGCTCGTCGTCGTCGTCGCCGTCGTCGTCGTCGTCGTCGTCGCCGTCGTCGTCGACGTCGTCGTCGTCGTCCTCGTCGTGTCGGTCCCCTGTCCGTCCCTCTGGGGGTCGGGTCGACGGTCCGCAGCCGCCCCGCCGATCAGCGCTGCCGCTGGCCAGGCCGACGGTCCGCGGCCGCCCCGCTGCTTGCCGGGGCCCGGCCTGCAGGGAAGAAAGGTATACCCCCCAAAAGGGGTTCGATCGAAGACGGAGAGGGCGGGTATCGAGGGTTTGGGAAATACGCGTTATTGGACACTCGAGCAGATAAGGTCGAACAATCTTAAAATGATTGTTGTTGTTGTTGTTGCTGTCGTTGTCGTTGCTGTTGTTGTTGTTGCTGCTGCTGTTGTTGTTGTTATTGTTGTTGTGGTTGTTGTTGTTGTTGTTTGTTGTCGTCGTCCCCCCCGCAACCTACCTGCGACCCACCCCGCGACCCACCCGCGACCCACCCGCGACCCACCCAGCGACCCACCCGCGACCCACCCCGCGACCCATCCGCGACCGACCCCCCGACCCACCCGCGA